GGAGTATGACCTTAGTCTCAAGAAACCCTTATCAGAGTCTGGCATGGTGGCTCATGAGGCGACAGAATTGCCTGAGCCCAGGGGTTCGAGACCAGCCTGGGCAATTTGGCAAAACCTGCAATAAGTCAAAAAATTGGCAGGGCATGGTGGCATGCACCTGTAGTTCCAGCTAATTGGAAGACTGAGGAGCAAGGATTGCCTGAGCCCTGCAGGTCGTGGCTGCAGTGGCTGTGAGCATGCCACTGTCTTCCAGTCTGGGTGAGAGTGGGACTCCGACTCAAAAAAAAAAAAAAAAGAAACCCTTATCAGAATACAATGGTTCTAACAGCTGCATAAAACTTACTTAGGGATGGACACAGTAGCTCAAACCTGTGATCCCAGTACTTTGGGAAGTGGAGGCAAGATGATTGCCTTAATACACGGGTTCCAGACCAGCCTGGGCAACTTGGCAAGACCTCATCTCTACAATAAATCAAAAAATTAGGCTGGGTGCGTGACTCACACTTATAATCCCAGTACTTTGGGAGGATGAGGTGAGAGGATTGCCTGAGCTCATGAGTTTGAGACTAGCCTGGGCAACTTGGCAAGATCTCACCTCTACAATAAATTAAAAAAAAATTAGCCAGACGTGGTGACACATGCCTGTAGTTCTGGCTACTTGGAAGGCTGAGGTGAATGGGGGGCCAGCCCCCCAAAAGAGATTTAGAGGGTCCCTGGAAGATGGGGCAGCGTTGGCGAATATTTTGGGAGAATAAAAGGGAAGAAAGAGACTGGACTCTCTCTAGTGCCGAAGCCGATTCTGTAGTAGGGATAGATATTGAAAGAAAGATGGAGGGATAGATATAAAGAGAAAGAAAGAAAGTGGACAACTGTTCAGTGAAATGAGCAGAAGCTGTTTATTGGGACCAACCGTGAGTCTCTTATCCCAAACTTTCACATGTTAAATCACAAGACTTTCACGTGAACACAAAGCCAGGTACGTGAGGGGTGTCCCCCACCCACCAGGCGTTTCCTTAGGAATGAGGAAGGACAATCCCAATTAAATCACAAGAGTTTTACGTGAACACAAAGCCAGGTGGGTGGAGGGTGTCCTCACCCACTGGGCGTTTTCCTTAGCATGAGAAAGTACAATCTTAATCAAATCACAAGAGTTTTACATGAA